CATCTCTACCCACTGAGCCATCCTATGGGCTCATCATCATCAGAGACTGGATCTCTCTACTAGTCCTGGCTGTTCTCAAACTTGCTATGTAGGTCACACTGGCCTTGAACTCAAAGAGACTATCCAGCCTCTGCCTCCCAAGTACTAGGATTAAAGGTGTGAGCCACCACACCCAACCTTCTTCATGTCCAACCTTCATTTTTTGTAATATGAGGTCTTCATAAATTGCCAAACTGGCCACAACCCAGAATCTTTGCTTTTTGAAACCTATTCTATTTAAGGACACACTGCTCATTTTCATTTCAAATTACACTTAGAATGGAGAAGGGGTGTGTGTGTGTGTGTGTGTGTGTGTGTGTGTGTGTGTGTGTGTGAAAGAGAGAGAGAGAGAGAGAGAGAGAGCGAGAGAGAGAGATGATCACTATCACGAGCCAGAGGGCAACCTTGGGTGTTTGAGTGCTATACACCTTGTTTTTCAAGAAAGGATTACTAACAGGCCAGTAGCTTGCTGAGCAGGCTAGTCTGGTTGGCCAGTGAGCCTCAGGGATACCAGTCTCCACTCTCCAGTGATGGGATCACTAGTACACCATGTATCCAGCTTTTTTTGGCATGACTTCTGGGGCCACACTCAGGTTCTCAAGCATTTTATTGATTGAGCCGTCTCCCAGTGTTAGTATGCAGGCATGTGTACTGGCCTGCCCTGGGGTCCTAACAAGATATATCCTCAGCTGCACCACTAAGAGCACCCTGTGTACATTTGCTACCTTCCCTTTTAAAACCTTGCCCACCTCCCATCGCTCCCCTTTTCTGTCTCCCCCTCCCGGTATTTTTTAAACACCACCTAGTCCCCAGAAGACCGTCCTCAAAAATAAAAAAATAAAAAAAAACAAAAAACAAAACAAAACAAAAACACCACAGTGAAAACTTTCTCAAGTTCCCTACTTACCTAGAAAAATTTTAAAGTTCAAAAAAAAAAAAAAAAAGTTCATATTTACTGGTTTGGCACTTGACTTCTGTAATGTTATTTTAATCTATGTTTTAAATTGTTTTTCTAATTATTTTTGAAAACTAACTGTACCCTGGTGGTATTAGTCTACTGTCCCTCTTTTAAAAGTATTGCTGAGGCTAGCGACTCGGGTCAGCTGTTTTCCAGAGGACATGAGTTTGGTTCCCAGCATGCACACTGGGAGTCTCACAATCACCTACGATTCCAGAATGATTCCCTCTTCTGGCTTCCTCGAAACCCACACACATCTGAAATGTATTCACATGCACATTTAAAAAATTGCAGCACTCCTATCTTTGTGTCTTTGTACCATCCTAAAAATAATCTTCTTGTCTCTGTGCTAATTTCAATTCTACTGATTTCTAAGGATCGTCTCAAATCTATACCTCTGCCAAGAGGCAATTTCTAATTACTTCAGTACTGAGACTGCTCACCTTTCAAAAAATTTTTTATGTTTATAAGTATTTTTGCTTGAACGTATGTCTATGTACTACTTGTGTACCTGATGCCTATAGTGGCCAGAAGAGGGTATCAGATCCCCTGGAACTGGGGATATAAATGGTTGTTAGTTGCCTTGTGGATACTAGGAATCAAACTCAAATCCCTCGGAAGAGCAGCCCCAGATATGCCTAAAATATTAGCACTTGAGAGACAAGGAAGTTAGACCTCAAGACTGAGTTTAACCTGGGGCTACATAGCAAAACCCTGCCTTAAAAACTAAAACAGCCAGGCAAGGTGATACATGCCTTTGATCCCAGCACACAAGAGGCAGAGGTAGGTGAATCCCCGAGTCTGAAACAGTCTGGCACACAGCAAGTTCAAGGCTACAGAGAGACCCTGTCTCAGAAAAGCAACAACAAAATAAAACAAAGGGCAGAAAGATGGTTCAGAGGGTAATGACACCATCTTGTCAAGATGAACTCGATCTCTGAAATTCATGACAAGACAGAGTCAACTTAAGCTGTCCTCTGACCTCTACATGGGAACCTTGGCATTGGTGCATTCAAACACACACTAAATGAATGCAAAAAAAAAAAAAAAAAAAAAATCCTATGGAACAGGGCCTAGGAAATGGCGGCTAAAGAGATGGCTCAGTGATTAAGAGCATGTACCACTCTTCCTGAGGACCCTAGCTTGGTTCCCAGCATCCACGTCAGGTGGCTAAAACACCTGTAATTCCAGCTCCAGGGCATCCAGTGCACTCCTGTGAATAGACCCACACACAGATACACATGATTAAAAATAGAAAATAATAATCTTAAAAAAAATCTTATGGTATATGTGTATCATTGTGTCATGTACTTACTATCCTCCATTTTTAAAGTTTTATGTGCAATTATTCTCTTCACCAACAGACAATACACATGCTAATGCCCCACATACTCTAATAATAGAGATATGAATACCACAGAAATTCCAATACATATTCCCATGAATTTTGAGAATGATAATTCATTTATAACAGATGCCTCTCTTTCCTCCTGGCTTTATAAGCTGGGGAAAAGAGCAGCAAAAGCAGAGTGAACCAGCTGGGCAATGCACTCAGGAGGCACAGGCAGGCAGATCTCTGTGAGTGTCAGGCCAGCCTGGTCTACAGAGTGGGTTTCAGGACAGCCAGGGCTACACAGAGAAACCCTGTCTTAGAAAACAAACAACAATAAAAAAAGAGCAGAATGAACCAACTGACAGTCGACTATTTCCCTGTTTTGGGAGAAATGAGGTCCCTGATGAACTCCAAATTGTCAGTGTTAAATTTATTAAAAAGTTTCTGGGGGTGGGGAGTGGGAGTGGGGAGTGGGGGGTGGGGGCTGGCAACACACACACACCCCACCCCAAATGTAGCAAGAGAGAGTGAGCTACAAAGATAGTTGAGCTGTTAAGAGCACTGGTTGCTCTTTTGGGTTCAATTCCAGCACCCATATGGTGGCTCACAGCTGTCTATAATTCCAGTTCCATGGGATCTGATATCCTCTTCTGGCCTTGTGGTGCACAGACATACACAAAAAGGCAAAACACCCATACACATAAAATTCCAAAGGGACAGAGTACTTGTCTACCATGTGCCAGGCTCTGGGTTTGATCCAAAAACAAAGGGGGGAAAAAAAGAAATTTGCCAGGCGGTGGTGGCGCACGCCTTTAGTCCCAGCACTCGGGAGGCA